TGTTAACTTTGTAAGGCTGATGGTGAATCAAGAGCCCATATGTTCCTCCATAGTCCTTTACGTATAGAATTTGGAGTTGGTTCTTCTCTCAGATGGGGATGAGGATGGTTCTACTTGCAGAGGTTATATGTATTACTTCAAACTTATGTCTTGCTTTCCTGCCTCAAGCAAGAGCATAATTTGGCAAATAGTCAGAGGAGTTATCTGTGGAGGTTTTGAAGAAAAGGAATAGAAGAGTCTTTGAAGGGATTAACTTGTCATATGATAGGATAATGGATAAGATATTACTCGCAATATGGATGTATTACTAAAGTTCGGCAAGATATTTGTTGACGTGAGGAGGAACCTACTGAACTTATTCCAGATGGGGTTTACTAAATGCAACATGATAGATGGGTGCCACCAATGTTGAGAGTTTTTAAATTGAATTTTGATAAAAGTTCTTTAGAGAACCTGGGGTTAGCAGGCTGAGAAGGTAATATAGTGTATACTTATGCTAGGAAGGTAATATAGTATTTACTTATGCATGACCACTTGGGGAGAAAACTGTTAATTATGCAAAATTCCTGGCTTTTCTTCATGGATTGAAAATTTTTGTGGCTAGGGGATTCGGATCTTACTATGTATTGGACTTAGCTAGACCTTTTTTCTTTTTCTTTTTGGCATGTATATCAAGAAAACTGTTAATTATGCAGAATTCCTGGCTTTTCTTCATGAATTGAAAGTTTTTGTGGCCAGGAAGTTCTTCATGGATTGAAAGTTTTTGTGGTCAGGAAGTTCACATCTTATTGTGTCATTGAAGGGGATTTCATGAATGTAATTAAATGGTATAAGGGGGGGAAGAAGGTACCTTGGAAGTTCAGATCTGTGCTTCTGTAGATATTGGACTTTGCATGTATATCGAGAAGCAAATGGGTTGGCAGATTTTTTTGGCTATGCTTCTAGCTAGACCTCTTTCCTTTTTATTTTTGCATGTATATCACGAAGCAAATGGGTTGGCAGATTTTTTGGCTAAGGGAGGCTATGGGGGTGCTACATTAACAGAGACAATTGTCTCTAATGCTGCAATTTTTCTTTAGTTTGGGGACCTCAACCATAGCTTAATTAATGGGTGCGATTAGGCGAAGGCCTAGATTTTACTATAAATTGTGAACCTTCACCTCATAGCCCTAACAGAAATGCAACTCAGACACTAGCTTGGAAACTTATCATAACTCTTAATTATAAAATTTGAAGCTCCAAAAATGATCCAAATCCGAAACACTAAAATAGCCAATTTGTGAACACCTAAAAATTGAAGGATCCAAATAATATATTACAAGATGCGCTAGAGTAAATTCATGTTTTTTTCATCACAAGTTTAAGCTACATGATCACTTGCTTTCCCCACAATGAAACAAGAAGCTTGGACAAGACTTGGGGGACCCTACACGAACCTTTTCCTTACTTAAGACATCGATTATTCTAACACCATCAATTGATGGTGGGTGGATGCCCCCAAGGTGTACCATACACCGTACATTATCGGTATATGATAATATACTTTTTTTTCTACAGTATGTGAAATGACATCGCAGCCAACATAATGACCGTGATAAAAATCAGTGGCAACAGTTCTCTCCAAAATTAGGAATCAATTTGATAAACGAGTTTTGGGAACAATTTGATGCCGACTCAATTAGTTTGGAAAATACTTTGATGATGATGATTTGAACAGTTTAATGAATTTTTTTTTATTTTTTTTTCATCTACTGTCAAATCAATGATAAGAAATATTTAACAATTTATTGAATCCATGTGATTCTGCACGTATTCATGCATCTTCAATATTTAAACGTTTTTCTCTGCTTTAGTTTGATGGGTGTAGATTAGCTTAGTACGATTGTGAAATAATATCATATGATATTAAACAGGGAAAAGATTATATAGAGCCGAGGCTCTAAACAATCAAATTAAAGCATACCTAAAAAATTTCATTAGAAGTGGTTGTTTTTATATCTAAATATCCTTAAATTGATCATCTCGATATCAAGATGCATAGACATGGAAAAAAAATGGAATTCAAGTTTATATCTAAATATCTTCAAATTGATCATCTCGATATCAAGATGCATAAACTTGAAAAACAAAATGGATTTCAAAGTTTTGGAAATAGTGTATTTTGTAAGGCAGTTTTTTACCATCAATTTTCAAGATTTTCAAGTTTTCATAGATATGTCAATCTACACTATTTTTTAATCTTTTTTTTTACAAATTTTTACACTATTTTGGAATCTTTAAACTTTACAAATAAAAATAAAAATATATCTCAAGGTTATCACAAAGATTTTCAGTGTTGAAACCACATTTCTCAACACTATTTGAAGGCAGGCTCTAATTTGATTTTTTAGAGCCTAGGCTCTATACAAACTGCACCCTATTAAATAAGGGTGTGATTTGTACAGTGTGTGGATCATGAAAATTAAAGTATGGTGTACATCTAAAATCTTGCTAAAAGATGCGGTTCAAGTACTGAAAATACTCATGATAGCCTGGAAATCTACTTCCAGACCTAATTATGAAATTTAAAGCTCTATTAATAGTATAGATCGAGCGTATCCATAAACACTCAAATTTTTTGAAAATAGACAGCCTAGATAATATATTACAAAATGTACAATTTTTTGGACTTAGAAATCCTTTTATTTTCTTGTGATATATCTATATCTCAAAGTTGAGACGATCGATTGTAGGGATTTTCACCATAGGTACAACATTTTTGGGTGGGTTTGTGAAGTGCACCTTACTTGTATGGTATAAAGATTGAAAAGTTATATAAATTTTTTTATGAAAATAAATGATTAAGTCATAAAATATTTTTAATATTTATTACCTTCATCCAATTATTTTTTCATTTATACAGTTATTTATTAATAGAAATAAGAGAGAGTAATTTTGCCATGCAGTTCTTCTCGACTTTCTAGAGTAGAAATTTTTCCTTATTGTACACTCAGACTAAAGAAAATAAATAAATTTTAAAGTAAAGAAAAGAAATAAATGTAAAAGCAAAGAAGTAAAAGAAAATAAAATAGAAAAAAAAAAAAAAATCTCTATTACTTATTTAGTTAGCTTAATTACCGCACATCGATGATGAATGGTTAAGGATACACTAGTGTTATTCATCATGTGTTACCCAATGAAGGACAATTCGCACAACCTTATACAAAGTGATACACATGTTTGGAGACCCGGAGAATCGCCACCGTCTTTCAATGGTAAATGACGGTGGATTCTCTGCGGCATACCACATGCCACAAGAGAGCTAAATGGATATTTTTTCCTTTAATTTTTTAGCACAGAATATATTCTAATCTTGGTACGCGTATCCAACATCTATTGTCCATGCTTATTTTGAATACTTTAAAAACTTTTTATAGCGGTCGTACTTCTTTAGCAGTCAGAGCTACTCAGCTCCATCACCCACGAATAAGTATTGTAGTCTATATATTTCTTGCAACTCCACAACACCTCAAAAAACCCATTTATTAATGGATCACGGACACCTCAAAAACAAAAATTTTAAGAGTTAGTATACAATGACACCATTTACATTTGTTACAAGAAGGTCACAAATACCTCTAACCATCCAATTTCAAATTCGATCGCTTGGGTTGTGTCAAGTAGTATTTTTTATTTATTTTTAAACTTTAAATTAGTCAATGACACGTTCACAACCATCCGATTTAAAATCTAAAAGACAAGAATAGTTGTAACTTCCGTATCTAAAAAATACATACTCTTTGTACACTTTCATTTTTTAATGGATTTAGGACTCCAAGGGAGTAAGAACTTGCCAAATAGTTTATGTGAGAAAAACTATTTAACAATCTACCCATATTTATTTATTTAATTTCGAAATGCCATCAAAATCTATGTGATCATAAGTCAATACTTGCGAATGGTTAAAATGTTGAATAGTCTCATATACGTATTTTGAATCTTTGATAAATATACTGTAAGGTGCACCACAAAAAAATGCACTAGAGAAGGTTGTTTTTATGCTGGAAAACCCTCAAATCAATCATCTCGGCCTTGTGATTCATTGCTTTAAAAAAAAAGACGATTTGTAGTCCTAAAAATAGTTCATCATCTAACACAATATCTTGACTATCCATTTTCAAGATTTTTAAGTTTTTATAGATTTGCTTGATCGTCACCATTTCTGGAAAACTTTAAAATTTATAGTCGGGGGCAACAATAGATTTTCATATAATCACAAGGATTAGCGACACCGAAACAATATTTTCGGCATAATTTTGAAGTGCCCCTTATTTGAATAGTATAAGTTTCACACATCATACAAACCACCCTTAAATTAAAAGCCTACATTAAAGGCAAAAGAAAGAGAAGAAAATCATAAACGCATACCGTATGCCGCTAGCGGATCCACAACCCATTCTTTATAATCGACGGTGAAAAGACTAACTCCTATTTACAATTGATGAACCTTGATGTTTAGAAATCATCAGATTGACTACGGAATCAGTGAGAGGTTTGGTATTGTCAAAACCAACTACCAGTTCAATCAGTTAGACCAAATTTGAAAAATATATTAAAAAATACACATAATAGCATAGAAATATGGAAGGGTGAGGTTTATATAAGGTATGCTCCTTGTACTATAAAAGTAAGGTGAACCTTTAAATTTTGTATAGACACATAATTTTGGGGTCGGAAACCTTATGATAGCTTGAAATTTTATTTCCATTCCTAGCAATGAAATTTAACATTTCAAAAATAATATAGATCCAGTTAACACTTGAAAATATGAAAAATAAACGATTAAGATAACATATTACAAGATGCACTATTTTTTATATTTGAAATGTTTTTTATTCTTCATATCCATACATTTTGAGATTGAGATGATCAATTAGAGGATTTTACAACGTAAGAACGCTCTTTTCCAAAGGAATTTTGAGGTGTACTTTACTTCAATAATATAAGGTTGACACCTTATGTAAATGTTTTTCAACATGAAATATATTAGGAGAAAACTGCCCAACTTTAACATGTCTTGGCTAGTTAGATTGGCCAAATCGATCGAACATCATTTTTACTCTAGACCATACCAGCCAAACATCAGTCGACAATCCGAGTGGTTAGATCGTTGGTTCAGTCCGGTCTTGATAACTATAGCTCAAACTAACATAAAGCTAGTGCTGGCAATGGGTCGTTGGCCTTGCCCGACCTAGTCGAAGGGGTGGATTAACCACCATTGTAGGACATGCCGAGCCAGGCCAGTTCGGTCTGACCCAATCTTTCTTTCCTTTATTTTTTCATTTATTTATTTCTATCTCATTTGGCACGGCTCTTACAGGACTAGGACTAGGACTAGGGCTAGGGCCAAGGCCTCTGCTAAATTCATGCAAGAAGTTGTTTCTACGTGACACGGAGTGCTCCAGCCATCCGTTCTCAGTGATGGACAGTGAAGTTGAACAATTCCTGCAACATTCTCCTCCCAAGCAAAGTTCATCTCAACCATCCATCATTCGAAATGAACAGTGATGACTAATCTAGTGTACAAAACTACCCCAATATAACACCAAATCTTAACGATATTCATGAGATTTTTCCATTTAATAACTCATTTAATATTTAATTAAAGGAGTGTAAAGTTTACTAGCAAACCGTTCCTAAGCTTCTAGAGTGGAATGATTCTTTTTTGTACAGAATATTTATTAATAAGAAAAATTGCATAGATTAAATTAAAAATGCAAAAAAAAAACAAGAGTTAAAAACTAAGCCCCAATTATTTATTTAGTAGATGTGATTAGACAGCTAAGGTTAGCATGTCTAATTAGCTGATTAGGGTAAATGTCAAATTCCCCACAAGAAAGAGAAAGAGAGAGACAGAGGAGAGAGAGAGATAAAATATATTTAAAGAAAAACACGAAAAATGCATTTAAAGAAAAACACAGGCCATCAAGAAATGCAAAAAAGGAGGGGAAAAAAAAAAAAAGGAAGAGAAAAGAATGTAAATACAATTTTCAGTGAGTTGAAACAACAAATTATATGCTTTAATCATCAAAAGGATATTAAAAAAAAAAAAGCACCCCCAAAAAATAAAAATATAAAAGAGCACCCAAACAATTACCTGTGAAATTTCGGCGAGAAAATCTCGAACTATCTCAGCCGTTCATCTCTGGTAAAATCACCACGACCCGATCTTGTAGCCGTGAAGCTCGCTGGGCTATCACAGCCGGAATGTACAGAAGTTGCCGGAGTTTCACCGGAATTCTCATTGATCACCGCAAAATTCACCAGATTTCTCATTGATCCCGCCAAAACGAGCTCGAACCTACTTCATCTTCCTCCCCCATAACTTCGATTCTACTGATTGCATCTCCTTCAACTTCATTAACCGGCGCTGGTTTGTTCAGATCAAGAACACTCTCTGCCTCTGATGGTGGTTTCAATCCAAGCTTAGCTGATGCACCATGCGATCTCTTATGTCCTCCTAAAGCTTGACCAGAGCCAAAAACCCTGTAACAATAAGGGCACTGGTGAATTTTCGTTTTGTTGGGAAATCCAGAAATTCGACCATTTTCCATTGCTGTTGCGGATAAAGAATCGATCTTTCTTCGATTTCCCTGGGCTTTCTGGTTATTCGGAGTACCCAAGATCGCCCCACTCTCCATTGTAGTTGCAGGGGAGCCCTCGATCTTCTTGATTTCTTTGGAACTTTCCCCCTTATTAGAAAAACCCCAAAATTCCCCATTTTCCATTGTTGTTGCAGAGCTCTCGATCTTCCCCTCCTCAATTTCTTGATTATTTAAGCAACCCAAAAGTTCCCCATTTTCCATTGAAGTTGCAGAGATACCTTTGATCCTCATGTGTCGAGCTCTGTGACCCCCTAGAGCTTGATAGGACTTGAAGATCTTCTTGCAAGCACTGCATTCAAACTTGCTCTTCTTGGACGGCTCTGATGATTCACAAACGCCGGAATCTGGCAGGACAACGCCGGAAAACTCACCAGAAAATCTATTCTTAGGTGAATTGGGGTTGTCATACATGCCTCTTGATAGGAGCATGAGGCTCACAGCTACGTTTTCCTCAACTGAAGCCGCATCCGAGATGGAGCTCGAAATCTCGGTATCTGTGTCGCCGGAATTGCAGGGAATTTGGCCCGATTTTCGGCCTGAATTCTTTGGGGGATGAGAATTCCGGCGAGGGGTGAAGGTCTGAGAGTCGTAGAGAACGAAAGGGCGCGTCTTCTTGGGATTGTTTCTGAGAGAGTAAGAGAGAGGAAGAGGGTTGGGATTAGTATTGGTGGTGGTGGTGATGGTGGAGGTGGTGGAATGAGATCGCATATGGCCGCCTAAGGCTGTGAAGGTTGCAAAGGTCTTGGAGCAGTGCTTGCAGGTGTGGGGAGTCGGGTCCATGGATTCTAGAGAGAGAGATAGAGATAGAGAGAGGTCCTGAGGAGAGAGAGAGAGAGAGAGAGAGAGAGGAAAAAGAAAAGCTTTAAAAGCGAGGGTGGAGCTTCGGAGTAGGAAGTAAGGAAGGCCGGGGGCTAAAAGTGTGTGTGGGACCGAAGAGAGAGAAAGAGAGAGTTTTTTGTTTACTTTATTTTGTAGAGAGACAGAGAGAGAGTTTTTGCTTTCGTTCTTTCTTTATTTTGTGGGTGTAGGGGACAGTTGTTATAAACTCTATGGGCGCGCATGGTGTGCGTGCAGGGCCGGTAATAGGCTCCAGAGCCCGGCCCGAATGGCCTGGCCTTAAAAAGTAGGGATTGGGCCACATATTGTGGCCCAAGGACAAGGCTAGGGTCAATGTCGGCTAGGGGTGGTGGCAATGGACCGGGAACCGACCCGTGACCCATTGGGTATACCCAACGCCGGTCTGGGTATGGGTCCAATTTTTGGACCAGGTGGGTCGGGTCTGGATCCAAAACCTATCCCCCGAATACTATTTAGGTCCGGGTCCGGTTGGACCCAACCTGTACCTGTAAACTATTGGAGATAAAATATTTCGAGCTCTATTCGTTTTAATGTATTAATGATCATATACAATAAGAACTCGTAGTCATCTTTAATTATTAAACAATAAATCATGTGACTTGAAATCTAATGACGGGTAATCATGATATTGTTGTCAATAATATGAATATATAATGGTAAAAAAAAAAAAAAAACTCATATTGAAGGTGGCAATCGACCCGACGAGACCAAAGACACAACAAGATAAACCTAGATCCAACAGTTACAGGTATGAGTATGAGTCCAACTTTTAGACCCGACGGGGTCGGGTCCGAGTACAAAACCTAGACCCAAATACTATTCGGGTCAGAGTCTGGGTCCGATCAGACCTAACCTGTTGCCAACCTTAGTGTCGGCCTGATTTGGCCTATCCTGGCCTTTTTTTTTTTTTCTATTTATTTTTTATTCGACCCAAACCTAACCCTAGCCCTAGCCCTGGCCTGGCGGGGGGCTTGGTGATTCTATGCATGTGTGTTATGAGAGAGAAACTTTTCCATATATTTTGTTTTCATTTTTGGGGTTGGGAGAGAGAAACGTTGCTATTTGTTTTCAGGGGGTTAGGCAGCGTGAATAGGTAGAGCTGTGAGAGAGAGAGAGAGAGATTTTCCCTGTCGATTTCTTTTTCCTTTTTGTCACAAACGTGACCGGTGATTGACTATGTGTCCATGCGAGAGAGCAAATAATTTGGGCCGAGTATAAACGAGGGTTGGGCCGGGCCTGGTCAGCCCAGCCCAAGTGTGGCTGGTCCTTTTGACCCAAATTTGATAAGGTCTGAGGGCCTAAGCATGCCTAGTCCGGGGCGGACAGTACCATGCCTTAGAGAATCAAAAGGGAAAAAAGTAAGACAAAAATCGGCTGAGCTCGGTCCAAGACTGTGGGCCGGCCCGAAATTGACATTGTGGTGACTTGGCCCTGGCCAAGCCCTCAAGTCTTGTTAAGTGGGTTAGACATAATTGTTCAGAGTCGAGACGAATGCCCATCGAGAGAGATGGAGAGTTTGGATTGGGCATGGATCCTTGAAGTTCAAACTCTAAGAAATGCACGCCAAACCCCCAGCCATATATATAAAGGGATTGTGTATTATGAAATTATTTATTTTTATTACAAAGAGGTCTCAATTACATCAAGCCATTAGACGTTAAATTGGATGGATTGGGATATATCACAAAGTTTGAGAATTTTTTTTAAAAAAAATTAAATATAATTAATGACACTCATACAACTAACCAATTTAAAATATGACGGACTTGAATAATTGTAATCTCCATATGAACTTCCATATACCAAAAGTAAATGCTCTCATGCACCATGCTAATTTAGAAGTCGGCAACCTTTTTGCTATCTTCATGAAATAATAGAATTTTGCACCATTTTTGTTCCCTTTGGCCTTTTCTCACTAACAATCGATAATTTTTTTTGGAAAATTAGAACACCTAATGATGGAAGATAGAAAAACACGCCATAAGATTACATGCTCATGCCACAATATAACGTCCTTAAATTGAATCGTCCAATTTTGGCATGTACCTAACATTTCTTTTTCTAATAAGGGCTTATTTAGGAATAAAATTTAATTTTTAACATACTCTTCCAAAGTGAATTTCAAATTTCCATATTAAGAAATTCATCCTAAGTAGGTCCTTTGCATTAGGGAGTAAATATGCAGCACCACCCCGCATATTTTAACAAAAATTTAAAAATACAATAAATAAAATAGAAAAACATCATTTAAATGGTTAAACCACCCTACCGAATCATGAAGATGAGCAAATCATCCTTACAAATCATTAAGATGATCAAATCATCCCAATTAACATTAATCTAGTTGCTTTTTAAGTTTTATTTCACTTGGGTACATCTTAAAATTTGTTAAAATTGACCGAAAAGCTATGTTCAAAATTGGGAATTTTGAATAAGCAAGAGTATTTTGATAATAAGATCCAGTTAAGTGGCAAGAGCCAGATAATGATAATACAACTAGTTGTTCAGAGTTAGTAACATGTGTTCCCAGCTTCTTATATTTATGTCAACCCTTGTTCTATTTTCCTAATCATGAACAATCATGGGTTTTATCATCATTGAGCTTGGGTAATTTTTAACATACTTCTAAGGAAGTATTTGAATACAACACAATGAAATTCAAATGGTGAGGTTTGTATAAAGCATCAACTTTTAACAATCAAAATAATATTAAGTACAAAACTATGTCAAATACAATTTTGGTGCCGAAGACCATTTGAATGGCAGGAAAATCTATTGCCTCATCTAATTATGTAATTTAAAGCTTTGAAAATGGTGTAGGTTGAGCATATCTACAAATTACTCAAAATTTTGCAAATGAATGGTTCAGATAATGCATCACAAGATCTTCCATTTTTGTAACTTGAAAGTTCTTATTTTATTTTTTTATCCATACATCTCGATGTCAAGATGATCTATTTGAGGGCTTTGGAGAATCGAAACAACCTATTTTAATGGCTTTGAAGTACATCTTATTTTTATATTATATAAACTTTTCCGAGCAGTCATTTTAATATTATATTGGATCATTTGGCTACCTCAATGATTTTAGAAGTTAATTTGACAATTTAATTAATATTTTTTAAAATAAAAAAAGAAAAATCCAAAAACATAGCATTCTCTATTTGTGAAAAAATAAAAATAAAAAAGAAAAAAGAAAAGAATCCAATTGAGGATATATTTTGTCATTTTGGAAAGCACGTTAAACGCATCCCGAGCATGACATATCATACACACAAGCGGGATATCTACCGTCCTTTCTCGTGACGCAGGGTCATGATGGGCGAAGCATGGGTTCACAATGGTTCATCTACACCGTTGATAACTGGTTGGGGACATATCGTCCGTACATAGCAACACATAAGATGTATATGGCATTTTAGCCTTTTGTTGGGATAGAGAGATTTCTTTTCTTTCTGCTTTTTCTTTTGTATAACAATTTTTGTGATACATGGATCATGGCCAATAGTTGTAGATGTTGAAATGGATCAGTACGAATCTGGAAACATCCGGCATTTTTGTGAAAAGTTATAATCAATTTAAATCATCACTAAGAGTGCGCATGATATTTAATATTAATTATTGAAACATATTTATCATTGAAAAATATTTTGAGTAAAATATAGTATTAGATATTATTGAATTTATCTCTGATTATTAAATAATTATGTTTTTTTTAAATTATGTAAGAAATAAATAATTCATATATAATATTTGTGATTAAATAAGATTAAAGGAAGACTAAAAAATTTTAAACGAAGGAATTTATTTTTCAAATTGAATATTGTATCAAATAATTATAAATTTGATATAGTATTCTAGAAATATTTAATTAATTCATATCCATTTGGCATAAATTAATAAAAATATGAAAAATTCAAATTGCATTAATAAAAGTGATAGAGAATTTAAGTTATATAAATAATAGTGAGAGAAAAATTAATATAGGGTATTTCGAATGCCAATATCAAATATAATAGTTCTTTAAAACATAAGGTCTTTGCTAATACCTATATCCAATATATTATGCTATTAAGGCATACTTCAAAAGTGTTAGCCTTGTTATAAAAATAAATAAATGATGTAAACCAATGTACATTGGCCAATACCGAATTTCAAAAAGAAATTCTTAAATCCTTATACTTATGGTATTAATAATCTTTAATCATTTATGTTGTGAAAATATAATTCGCATTAAATATTAAATAGAATAATTTGTTTGTTAATTCTTCTATATATGATATTATGTTGCCCATTAAATAATTATTATTTTTGCTTGCTGATATATTCTATTTATGTTATCAAATATAATTCTGATTCAATAGTATAAAATAGGTCCTTAAGAAAATCTCAATTTAAAAATTTTAAAAAGGAAAGAAATAAGAAAAAATAAAAATAGTACTATGATGTATGCAACTTTTTTTTTCCAATTTCATTGTAGATGTCAAAAGTTCCTTTAAAAAAATAGCAGAAAAAAAAAGAAGAAGAAAAAAACAAAAAAAAACAACAATAAAATATGTAATAAATAACAAACAATAGATAAAAAATTATGTAATATTGCAGATATTACCCAAAATTCAGTTTTCACATTAGATCTATGAACCGTGTCATTGCAATCAATATTCGAAAATAAAAATCCTAATATCAGAGTCAGACAAACAAATATTATTCGAAATAATATAAATATTTAATATACAGTACTAGCTCAATAATATTTATTTTTATAATTACCTAAAACCATAGCTTATTCGAATACCTTGAAAAATCAATAATGAAGGCAAAATGTACATTTACAAAAAATTTTACAAAAGCCAAATTAATGTAAATGTTATCCATGTTAATACTAATATTTAATGTATAGTACTAAATCAAGAATATAATTTTTTAATTACCTAATGAATAGTCATACTATAATATATTTTATTTGTTGGAATTTTTGTAAAAAGAGGTGTCTTTACATCCAATGAAATGAGAACCATAATGATATTTTCTAGAGCTCCAATCAAGAAATGTAGTTATGATTTCA